AAGGTTAGAAAGACTAATCTACCCTGTTATTTAACCCATAGCTGAGAGTAGAAGAAATGGATTCATGTCTTTCTACTGTGTAAAAGGCTTCAGTGCAAATATATATTAGGAGTGTAATGCATATTGGCATAGAAAGTAAAATCAGCAAGAAGACTTCAAGTCCTATTCTTGTCTGTTGCATTCACTTTTGCACTAATGCTCTTGGGAAAAGTATGAATATGTTTCTCCTCACCTGTTATGTGTTATTTAACAATGGGAGACAAGCCTGTCTAGCCTAAAGTGGTAGTTAGTCCAGAAGAAACCAATCCATAATTTTTCCCAAGAAGTCATGGTAATTCACAGATAACAAAGAAAAGGAATGTGTGGAGGACAATAACTGCCTACATCCCAACGGGACATTTCATTTCAAAAACAAAAAAAATCTATTTCAGCTTTAATATTACTTACAACAATTTTTCTTAATTTATGTTATCTCAAAAGACAAGGTTCAAATAACATAAGCTCTTCTCTTTGGATGCAGCTTTACATTCTTTTTATCTGACTTTTTAGAAATGCAACCTTTTGTAAAACCAAATCTAAAAAGTTGGTTGAAAAGAGTAGATATGCTACTGAAACATCCTGATGTAATAAGGTTAACAAATCCTTCTTTGGATTGTTCAGTTGCTTTTCTTACATATGATAGACTTACTGTAACTATAGATTTGGTTCTCTGATAACAACCATTGTAGGCAATAAATATTCGATTTACAAAATATTAACAAAACCAACCAGTCTTTATGGCATTGTTTGTATAACTATTTTGTATCTGCAGGTGTGACAGGAATAGTTTTTTCATGCAGGATTCTTGTTACTTAGATAACTCAGATTTTACAAGTATGAAAGTTAAGGTCAAGAGTAAAAATCTTTTTTCTTTGCTGTCATGTGAAATGTTTCTTTTATCTAGGAAGAAGCATTTTAATTTTTTTTTTTTTATGTAATCTACAACAGAAAAGATTTTTTTTATTTTAGTGTCTTCTTTTTATGCATTTTAATTTTATTTTTCAGATTTTATCACTGTAACTAGATTGACAAGCGTCAAAGTATTTTTGGAAAGTCTTATTAAAACAGAAGGAAAAGTCAATGAATTTGAATTAGTATATATAGCTGTAGATCATAACAGGTGACTGACACACACACACACATATTGTGGATCAATGAGTTTGTAACTTTCCTATAGTTATTTGCTGAATTTTGATCTGAAATTTTCATTGTATAATCTTCAACCAATGTGATTAATACTTACCACTGGATTAAGTGCATTAGATTAACAAATAAATAGTTTTCACTTAAAAGTATTTTATCTTAATTAAGCTCATTTATCCAATCTGAATATTGGATCAGAAGTGGATTTCAAAAATGATATTAAGATATTTGTGTATCGAGTTATTCAATCACATATGTGCCATTTTGTTTCACTGCCTCTCAACATCTTTGAGGCAGATTCATGATTCCATCCTGCTAAGATTTGGCCTCTTTCTCAGGGATTAACTGGTTTAAGTGGTTTTTATAAAGAGAATTAAAGTTCTTCCCTTTAAGAGAATTTAGTAGCGATCAAAATAAGTAGTAATTTGAAGGTAAAAGGTCAGGTGATTACAGCAAGTGTAATAGAACATCCCAACCAAGCTGTACCAATTTCTAAGAAAGAGATGTGAGACCTGATATTGTCCTGATGAAAAATGATACCATTTCATTTGATTGATTCCTGACATTTTTTAATTGATTGCTGTTGTTAAGCAGTCCAACTGAGAACAGTACTCGACCAGCTTTTAGAGTGATTAATGGTGGCTCATTTCATTTTCCCTAGCGGCTTTTTTTACTCCACATTGTGGTAAATACATTTTTCATTGCCTATAATCATTCTTTTGAAAAATAGTTTTTTTTCTGTGTTTGATCAGAGAATCCCAGAAGGAAATGTAGTCTATTAAATCTTTTTTGTTAAATCATGAAGCACTCAAACATCATAGCAATTCATTTATCCAATTGTTTTCAAAATCATTGCAACACACATTTTCAATATGTGGAGTATTTCTGCGATGTCTGGTGTTGGGGAACCTGTATTATTTTTAATGAACATTTCAATTTTGTTATCACCAATGACTGCAGGCTTACTGAAAGTTCTTGGTCTTTCATATCAAAATTTCTACTTCTGAATCTAGCAAACCATTTAGTAAAACTCCTCTCAGCTATGGTGTCATCTCTCTAAATGCTACAGATCTTTCTTTGGTGTTTGTGCAGTTTTTTTTTTTTTATTCTTTTCAGAATTAAAAATGGCAAAAAATGCATTTCATTTTCCTCTATATACACACACACACACATATATATATATATATATATATATATATATATATATATATATATATATAAAAAAAAAAAGTAAGACCAATTTTACCCTTCATGATTTAAAAACAAATTCTACATATATTCTCATATATATATATATATAACTCAGTCATGTGCTATATGAAATCATGTGTCCAAATATCACCTGTTGAAAAATGCTATAAAGTTTGATTCCAACTTAATCTACAATTGAAAATTTTTCCCAAATAATTCCATCGAAACGTGCCCATCATCTTTTACCTCCATAGTATTAGTAGCAGATTAAAACCAAAATGGTTATCGGTATAATGGTTATTAGTGATAGTAAACTAGATGGAATGAATACAAATGGCATCAAAAATGGTGTGAGTTTGTAGTGATGTCCTTCTTCATACGTATGTGCTTCCAAAAGTAATGAGACACGTTCTATTTCTAAAGCATCCTGTGCCTAAAAAATCTTTTTTATGAATCTAAATGTTTTTGCCCTTTTTTCTGATATACTGTTTTTGTCACCATCTAGCAGTCATTGGCAGAAGCTCTTGTAAAGACAATTAGGGGAAAATCCCACATAGAAAACAAGTAAAAAAAAAAAAAGCCATAAGGCATGAATTAGCTTTGTTAGAGTAAGAAAAAAATTATAACTTTGGCTTGTGTGGTATAGAAAGAATAAGTAATATTTTCATAGATAAATTATTTTGCATATATTAATCAAAATTAATATTTAATTTATACTAATGATATAGTAATATTTTAATTTATTTAATAGATCTTAAAATTAATATTTAATCTTTGGTAATAAAATAAGTACTATTTTAATAAAATAGTTTTAGTTTATCACAGAAAAAATTATTATTGAGCAAAAATAAACATTAAACATTCCAATGTAAATTTGAGAAAATTCTAAAATATATTTGAAAATCTCTTGACTTTATTGAAAGGAAGGAAACTAGTAGATGCACAGTAATATAACTTTTACATTTTTAAATGAAAGTGAATTAATGTTTTTTTTTTTTAATTTTTTTTGTTTCTTTTTTTCTCTAAAAGAAAGTGGCAATGAGTTAACCACTTTCCTTTACATTTTTAATGTTTTTTTTTATGGTCATAAATAAGTATATTGACTTGAAAAAGGAGCATTACTCTTTACAAAGAAAATGTTTTTTAAAAAAAAAAGGAAAATAGGATGTATATATATGTTTGCACTAGTATCTATTAATGCACTTTCCAGAATTTGTCATATTAAGTTATTTTCTCTTTTAACAAGGAAGGGAGTTTTTAGAACGAAATTGTGATTTAAATTAATTCTATGTCTAGTACATTAGGATATTTTGATTGTGTTCATAAGTAAATTTTCTTAAGTTTCTGGGCATTTCACCAATTTTAAGGAACAACTGTTACGGTTTATTATATATATTATTATTATTATTATAATATATGCATCAGAATTATTGTTTCCATGATGATTTCTATAAGTTTTTGATATAGTTGTAATTAATTTAATATTAAGATTGGATATATTATTTTGTATAGTAAATGTTATGAAGTTGGTGTATATATATATATATATATTATTTTATATATTAAAACAAAAACATGTTGAAATTGCTATTGTGTAGCAATTTCAACATGTTTTTGTTTTAATATATAAAATAATATTGAAAAAATCTTTATATCAGGTGAGATAAATCCTATTATTAGTTTTTTCATAAATGTTCCTTGTGAAATAATCAGTGCATACATGGTGGGAAATGTAGTATATTAATTCTTTAATATATATGAATGACATAAAATAAAGTAAAATCTTTGTTCTCTTTTTTTTTTTTTTCCTCATTACAAATTTCTGCAGCCTTTTTTCTTTCTCTAACATAATCTTTAACATTTTCACTCTAAAAGAAATAAATTTGTATTTGTTTTTGCAAAGATTGATACTGTTATGTAAATTTTTTTTGTAGCTAAATTCACAAATCTGGGTGAGTGACCAAAGATAAAATAGTCTTATAATCATAATGAAATATCTCCATTATTGTTTGTACCAAAATACACAAAGATTAGAGATAGATATATGCTAGTTAAAATATGTATTTAAGGTAACACACATACTTTGTTTTCTGTGGAACAAACTAACAGACATTTTTACTGTTAGTTTTTTGGGTAGTATAATGGATAAAGACATAGTTTACATGAGTTTGTAAGTAGAAATTTTAATTGCAAACTGAGTCTTGAGACCAGGAGAAAAGAGAAAAAATCATTAGTTGCTGTTGAGTTTTATGATGAACGAACTTTATTTATTCCTCACGTACATTTAATTGATTTATAGACTAAGCAATAAAGGGGAGTTAATAGAGAATAAAATGGCTACCACGTTCAGGAGAAAAAGGTGGATGTGAAAATAATGAGTGCAGTCTTGATCGCGGACATTGAATGGATCAATGTATGGAAGCGTTTCAGTGCCAAATTGATCCTTCATTGAGTGATTTCCTGGCTCTTATCGGGAAGTCGTTCTGATAGGCGGATATTCGAGTCGGAAATGTAATAAAGAAAATTGAGGTGTAGGTGGAGAGAACTGGTAGTGTTCTTTGTAATTTGATTTTATTGCTTCTCAATTCTTTTCTTGTTTGATGAAGATAAAAAAAAATGGTACAGAATTAAATGATGGAAGAGAGAATTGGAGAAATAAGAAAGCTTGGAAATTGGTGGGAGAAAATGAAAGAGAAAAGGAAAGGTTTAAAAGTTAAAAAAAAAAAAAAAAAAGAGAAGAAATAATGAATTGAACAATAGAAAGGGAAAGCAAATTTTGAAATTATATTTAAAATGTGAAGAAGGGAAATTGTAAATGTACATAAAAGAAATAGAGAAAGAAAAAGGATTAGGGAGAAATAAAAAAAGAAAGAAAAATCTTTGAATAATATAGAAAATAAGGAAAAAGGAGACAGAAAAAATATGGAGGAAAGGAGAAACATGGCTAAAGTGAAGTTGGAAAAGGAAAATATAAAGAATTGTAAGAAAGGGTGGAAAGAGAAAAAAAACAACAAAAGAAAATCAATAGAAAATTGAAGCAGATGAAAGAAAAACATTAAGAGAAATGTTTTTTGAAAAAGCAAAATGAATAAAAAAAAGGAAGGTAGAAAAAGAAAGAAAAACTGACAGACAAAATTAGGAAAAAAAGAAAAAAAAATCCTAAAAACTAGAAAACAAAAAAGAAAGGAAACCATAAAGAAAGGAATCAAACGAGAATTCACCTCCTTCATTCAACACCTTCATTCAATCAGAGAATGACAGAGCAAAAGAAAAACAAAATGTGACATAAAACATTACCATTTCTGGATATACTCTTTCTGTATGGCTTGTGCGTGCCACAACAAAGACGCTTTCCCCATTGCTGTTCACACGGCAAGATTCACTGGCTAAGAAAACTGTTCAATTCACTTTGATCACTTTTCCTATATATTTTGCATGCAAACTTTATCAAATAAATCACAAATCCCCAATAAAGACTCCAGACAAAAAGTCAGTGGCTTACGACCACCATGTCAATAATAATAATGAGAATAATAATAATAGCCAAATACCAGTTGTTGCTGTCATAGTGTGGGACCATTTTATCAAATTTGTGGTCTTTTACATGAGAACCAACCAAATTAGGTGATTTACTCTAGGAATCATAGGATAGAAAGCAAAAGAGCATAACCATTTTTCATAGGGTGTCCGTAAAAGCTTCAGAAACCTTCAAACATAACGGATGAGTTAACACGAAGATAATGAATAAGATAGAGGACAAAGAAAAATGATAGATAAGAAATAGGTGATGATAGATATGAAGAGAAATAATCTGATGAAAGAAGGAAAAAGACAGAAAAATAAAGGAAGCCTATACAATACATAGACACAGGAAGAAAGAAAGACACTTAAAAAAGAAAGACTGTGAAAAGAGAAAAACATTTAGGTTTCAATAAAGGAACATTAGAGACAAATGAAAAAGAAAGAACAACAACAACAAATGCTATCATTACTACTGTGACAACCAAAGCCATTATGAAAGTGTTAAAAGGTTAGCTACATTTCTTGAGAGCTTTTGATCTGATGGTGATAATGTAACATTATATATCGGACTTCTTTCATGGAATGTGTATTGCTTTTTATTCACTATGCTCAGTCATTGCTGTAACAAGTTTCAATAGTTAGAAAGAGAAGAGAGAAAGAAAAATTATCTTTGTTGCTTTGTTTTGTGGGGACCAAGGCAGTTTAAAGACTACAAAATAAAATGAGGTGGGAATGTGGGAAATTAATGTGAGGTGCATTGGTGAAATGACAGTGTATGGTTGTAAGGTGCGCACACACAGAGAGAGAGAGTAAAAAAACAAATATATATATACAGAAAAAGAAGACATTAAGGCATATGTTAGATAACGTATGTATTGATATGACTGGATATGTCAATTCTACAAGTTTGAGATGATGAGCATGTGGAAAGGATGGTATGGTTGCTCAAGTGCACATTTGTGTTAATATGAAAAACTGATTGTGCACATCAGTATGTGTGGGGCACATAAAAGAAAGTCGTGCAAATATTTATTTTGTGTAAATATTTTTAAAATATTTAATTGAAATTGAACAATATTGATATGAAAAACTGATTGTGTGCATGCATGAGAATTATATATATATATATATATATATATAGTGAACATTGAGGTCAACACTTACAGACAGCTTCATGCTAGACACAATTGTCAGGCCACCTGATGATTGCATCTAGCATGAAACAGCCTGTCGCCTCTGAGTTTTGACTTCAATGTTCACTATATATATATATATATATATATATATTTATACACTCTCTATGATATTGAGCACTTTATCCCATGAATATCATACACCTGAAAACTATATTTCTTTTATATATATATATATATATATATATATATATATATATATGAATGCACGTTTCATTAAATAATATAGACAAGTGTTGTCTATTTATTTTAATATTATTTAATGAAACGTGCATGAATGAAAAGATGCTGCCTAAATACACACAATATATATATATATATATATATATATATATATATAAATTTGTCACTTAGCTGATTGGTGTTACTTTCAGCATCCTGACTCCAGTTTCATAGATGGATCCTCCAGCAATCATTCTGTCTACTCGTTAGGTATTATCAGCAATATATATATATATATATATATATATATATATATATATGTGTGTGTGTTTGCATAAAGAAAAGTCACACACATGTATTTATTACTGTGTAGGTATCTTTAAAATTTTCTATGTTTCATGCCTCTTCAGGATGTTGATGATCATGGCTCTCCACAATTTCATGTCTTTTGTAGCCCTTAGTAAATTCTATCTTTTTGCTATTTCTTCTAAACCCTGTTCTACAAATCATTAACATAAGCTCATTAGGAAGGTTTAATAAAGAACTTTATATATACAAATGATTGTGTGTGAGTGAAGGCACTTGTCTAAATAACAGTGTATGTATGTGATTGCATTACATATATAAAACGAGAGAGAGCTATCTAGCAAATGAAATATACACAGGATGCTATTTGGCAATGAAATGTTTACAGGATGTATCACATAAGAAAAATCAGACAAAGATGCACAATAAAAAATATCAGTGTAATTTTAAGTCTGTATATGTATTTGACTTAAAAAAACAAAAAAAAAACAATATTTATTCAATGAAATTGCCCACATCCTTAAGGACAACCTTGAAAGATGCAGCTGCAGATTCAGATCAGATGGATCTCATTAATATTGTTCATTACATTGCTACCGACAGCATTAAATGAATCTTTTGTGGTGGGTGGTTGGTCTTCCTCTTAATAACACCCCTAAAGTAATTGCACAAAATATTCAAATCAGGTGAGTTAAGAGATGTGTTAGTGGGAGGAGTAACATGATCCTGGTCAGTTACTCCAGGGCTATGTAAGAGGAAACAGTCTTATAAAACAGATACAACCTCCTGTGAGTTACACCTTGATCAGGGGTTGACCACTGGGTTTAGCACCTCATTATCGGTGATGATATTGTCCCTAAGTGTAGGGTTGCATGGCATGGCTCTTATTGCTAATGACCCTCAGAAATATCACACAAGAAATGAACAATGTTCATCACTGTGGGTACCTTTGTTGGGTCTAAACAGAGCCATCCACGTTCACCTTCTGGTCCTGGTCAAAGTCCTTCTTTTCAGAGAAGGACTAGAATATGCCGGACTCCTGAGGTTGCTCGATATTATTCAACATGCTTTGATCAGATCACATGGTTCTCTCACATCTTGTCAGGCATTAACTACTTTCACCTCATCATATATGACTTAATGTTTTTGTGCACCAAACAGTTGATAGTGGTGTTTACTATCACTTAGAGCAGGTCTGTGAATGCCCTTACCAACTTGTTGCACTCATGGTTGATGATGTCCCAAGCCTACTGGATAAACATGTCTGTGTTTACATCTCACTTAATTTTTTTTTTTTTTCGCCAGAGATGACATACTCCTGTCAGTGGCATTCAACTTGTTCCTGACTTTCAACATAAACGACCTGTTCATTTTCCAAAAATTCACAATTTCCAAGTCATTGTAGTTCTTGGCTAGAACCATAAGCACAGAATGTCTTTTTGATTTCCTCTGTCAACTTAAAAAATGACATGTTCATGTTCTCAATATGTCTGAAAGAGGAGAATTTTAGAAATTTGCCACATGTCACATAAAATGACATTAGGCCATCTTCCATTTATGGCTCAGTAAAGGTGTGTTCTCAAATACCTGTCACACTCTGTATACTACTACTACTACTATGTGCTATGTACCTTCAGGACATTGGCAATCATGGCTCTCGACAATTTCCTGTCATAGCTCTTAATAAATTTTGTCTTTTTCTCATCTCTCCTAAACCATGTTCCATGTCCATTTACTAGATAGGTTAGACATTGTTTTCCTCTATCCTTCTTGCATTCAATCAGCCCTGTGAGTATCAAATTTTTAAGCCCTCTTTTTTCATCATGTGCCCTAGAAATTTCAACTGCCTCTTTCTGATTCTAAGTATGTGTCCTTTTTGTTTCCATTTTCTCTAAAACTTTGTTGTTGCTCATGTTTGATCCATGGTATTCTCAGTATCTTTCTGTAGAATCACATTTCTGTTGCTTCAAGTCTCTTCTTAATCTGTGAGGAGATAGTCCATCATTCACAGGCATATAGTAGAGCTGATATTATGCAACAGTTTGGTATTCTTTTCTTTGTTTCTAACGAAATTTTCCTGTTCCTTAATACTTTGCTTAGATTCTGGAAGGCCTCTTTCACTATCTTAATGAGCCTTCAGATTTCAATGTCACACTTTCCAACCTCTGTTAAAATACTTCTCAGATATTGAAATTGTTGTATTTTTAGTTTGCTATCTCCAATTTATAATTTGCATGTTGGGCTGTTCCTTTTGCTAACAATCTTTCTTCACACTTTCCTTCTACTTTTTGTAAGAGTTCTTTCTATGCCCGCTATCAACAGCGTTATTGGCATATCTTATGTCAAGATTGTGGCCAACAATTATAAGGTAGAACTTCTAATTCAGAATCGCCTTACTGTTTAGGTTAAATAAGTCTGGTAAGTAAACACATTCTCGTTTTACACCCCTTTCTATTTTTGCATATTTACTTACTTCATTTTCTATCTATATGCAGGTGGTTTTCTGCCAGTATAAGTTATGGGTTATTCTAATATCCTTCCCAAATATATCAAGGTTACCTAGCAATTCCAACAGTTCTTTGTGACATATAATTTGTGATATAATTATGAAGATATGCTGTATCTATGTTTATAGATAGGTCAAATGCATTTATTATTTTTCAGTTAAGTTTCTTCACAGCACGATTATTTTGTTTCACTTTATTAAACTTAAATAAAAATTCCCAGTGAAATGTTTGAACCAGCAAATTTATTTTATATGTTCAAAAACTTGCACCGGCATGAATATTCCAGACAGCACAAATGAAAAGCAAATGAAAATTTGCAAACTTTGTCTGTATATGATAATTGTCAATCTTTCCTTCTTTCTTATACATGCATACAATTTCTAATTTGCTCATATAGTATGTTAGTATGGAAGGCTTCTTTTCTTTTTCTTTTTTTTTTCATTTTTTAAGATATTTGTTAAACAAGGAGATATTTTCATTGCATTATTCTGTCTAAATAATAGTAAAACCTAAGAGTCTATTTGCATTCACTTTTAACAAATACCATTGTGAAAGGGAAGAGTCAATTTCTTTTCACCTCCACCTACACTCCAGACTGAATTCTGAACCAATTGGGAGTGGAGCTAGCAACTCCACCCCATTAAAGCATCCTGGGTAAGACTATAAACTACATCCAACAGCAAGGCCTCTGATCAGGAGGTTTTGAGGAGTGTGGAACCACCTCTTAATTACTGGTGTTTCCAGGTCCTCCCTGACCAGGGGTGGTAGCACCGGTTAGGGTCCCAGCTATAGGCATATAGTTGACCCCGAAACTGGGGTAAAAACATTATGAAAGTGTAAAAATAGGTTTTAATACCAGAAATACTTTGTAAAAAAATTATTTCCTGCAATAAGTTTTTGAAGAAAAAAAAAAAAAACTATTACCAGCTATACATTTTTGAAGAGAAAAATATTACCAGCAATAATTTTTTGAAAAAAATTATTACCAGCAACACATTTATGAAAAATTATTACTGGAAATAGACTTTTGACAAAACAAAATATTATCAGCAATGAAAATTTTGTCAGCATTAAATAACCTATTGAAGTTGATATGCCATAAAACAAACTAAAGCAAATGAAATCCACCCCCCACATTAAAAACTATTTGCCATAGAAACCTTTAGCAGCAACACCTAGTATGGTGAAGCTGTGGT